AATCTTTGAAGAAGTTGTAATTTAGCCTTTTCCTGATGTTTTCCAGCTGGCGGGTGAAGTTATCTTGGTGCACAGGGGAAATTGCAGTTTTGTCACCAAAGCAAATGTTGCCGAAGCTGCTGGTGCTTCGGCTCTAGTCATCATAAACAATGCGAAAGGTTTATATTCTGTCTGCAATATCCATCTTGTCAGTTCATTACACGTAGTTTCTATCAGTATTTTCTTTTATTCTATGAAATTGTTCTAGCGAGTGTATTGCATCATTAAAAGAGATTATTTTCTGAGTAAATGAACAAGGCACTGTCAGTGTTTGAATGACAGAAAAGAAAAGTTTTTCAGCGTCTTACAATGCAATGTTTTGTTTCTAGTTCTACTTATTTAATGAGAGTCCAAAAGTACAGGTAGGTTTTCTTTTGCTGATTCTACTTCTGTTTTGACTTAACGAGTACTTAAACACATTTACAACTTATTTGTGAAACACACTCTATTTGCTACAAATCTCCTGTTATGAACTACTTTTGTTTCTCATCAATTAGATATAAGAATCTGTTGTGAAAGCAGTTGCTTGTCATATAAATATTGTACCCACCGTCCAAACCAAGCTTAATCACCAGAGCATCCATCCACAGAACATATTTTTGTCATGATAATAACTAAACAAAATATCAAACTATTTTTGATATTAAAAAAAATTCACGGCATTGCTGATCTAGCATAATTCCTAGTGATTGGCTTTTTCCTCAGAACTCTTCAAGATGGTTTGTGAAGCAAATGAAACCGACGTGAGCATTGGCATACCTGTTGTCATGCTCCCACAAGATGCCGGTGCTACCTTGATACAGAGCATCATGAACTCTTCACGTGGTAAGATTTCAAAATCATCAGATTTCGTATGATCATGTTCAGTTTGTTCACTTTATGTTATTTCCTAGTACCGTTGTTCATTTATGGGCTTGTTCTTATTTTCAGTTTCCATTCAGATGTACTCCCCACATCGTCCTGAGGTTGATGTGGCTGAAGTGTTTCTATGGCTGATGGCTGTTGGTACCATTTTATGTGCATCTTATTGGTCCGCAAGGAGTGCCCGAGAAGCAGCCATAGAGCAAGACAAACTCTTAAAGGTAATTCATCTTTTATTATGATTTAATTGATTAGATCGGTTTGAATGACCACTACCTTTTTATCGATCATAGTGTATGACTACAAAAATTTAACAGAAGGAAAAAAATACAACAACAACAACAACAATAACATACCCAGTATATTCCCAAGGGGTCTGGGGGGTCAGTTGTACGCAGACCTTACCCTTGTAATTATACAAGGAGGCTGTTTCCGTAGCGACCCAAGGTGCATTGCGCCGTTTGATATTTTTTTTTTTTCTAGAAACTTCACTAATAGAAGAAGCACTAGAATTTAATTGAAAATAAAAAATTCCCTTGATGATTCAATGTGATATATTTTTTACTATGAAGGAATAATTATGTCATAAGGATGCTTGAACTTAATACATTTGTGGTTTCTTACATTTAATGAAAATCTTTCAACCTTGCAGGATGGTTCTGATATAGATTTCAGCAAGGACACTTTTACTTCCAGTGGTGTTGTGGACATAAACTCTAAAACAGCGGTTCTTTTTGTTTTGGTTGCTTCGTGTTTCTTGATTATGCTCTACAAGTTGATGTCTTACTGGTTCATCGAGATCCTGGTGGTTGTATTTTGCATAGGTGGTGTTGAGGTATATGCTAATGATTTTTTCGCAATTGCAAATTAATTTTTCTGGACGATTTTGTATTGATTTCAAAATCGTTTCGTTTTTCTTGGTATGTTAACCTAAGTTCCTTCATGGTGATGTTCTTACAGGGTTTGCAGACCTGTCTAGTTGCTCTCTTATCATGGTATATATTCTCTTGATATCTTGGAGGTTTCAATATCTTACTATATTTCCTTATTTTAGACAAAACCCGACTGGATTGCCAATTAGATAGTTCTGATTCTTGATATTATTACAAAGTAAAAGTATTTAATCTCTAAATTACCCACATTTATCAAATTATATTCAACATAATAGGTCCAGATCCCGGTTGCGTTTTCTTTTATCCGGTGTGTGCTTTATGCTAAAGGCACTACTCAACTTTTCATATTTAAATGTAGTTTGAGGTGGTTTAACCATGCTGCTGAGTCGTACGTTAAAGTGCCGTATATTGGAGCTGTATCGTATTTGACGCTTGCTGTATCCCCATTCTGCATAGCCTTTGCAGTGTTATGGGCAGTTTTTCGTCGTGTCTCGTTTGCCTGGATCGGTCAAGATATACTTGTAAGAACGAATACTCTAGTTTGCTCTTTATTACCCTCAGTTTGAACTCGAGTCTACAGCCTGTTATACAGAATCCATTATCTTGGGTTTTTTTTTTCTTCTTTATTTATTATTAATTTTTATTTTCTTTTTGGTGTATATATAGAGTTTAATCCATTTTTAGTAGAGATGTTGCGATTAATTCACATTTAGGATTAATTAGGCTGATTAGCCATGAGGTTTGGCTTGTAGAATTTATAGATACCCTGTAAAGTATGTATGCAAACAGCCAGTATAGTTTGTATTTCTTAACACAGACTTGTTATTTAGGTTGTAGTTCATGAAATAGATACAAGAATCAAGAAGGGGTCTGTAAGAGGGGCTCTATATAATTTTGAAAGATAATTAGGAGTCGATTTTTATTTATTATCCCTAACATTTATCTCCAATAAGACTTGATATTAATGGGACTGGACAGTGGACTCACTTGGGATGTTCATGACATTTATCTGCAGTATAAAATCAAACATAATTACTGTTTGATATTGTATGTCTTTCTTTTTTCTTAATGATGACAGAAAATTGACTAGTTTGACTCATCTTTCAACAGGGCATTGCATTGATAATTACTGTTCTTCAGATTATAAGAGTTCCAAATCTGAAGGTAACTTTTTGGTATTCATGCTATACTTTATATAAACACTTCTTTCATTGTTTAGCTACTTCAATGAACGAGCATATGTTGATTCCCACAACCTGCTATTGTTCTGTCTAAATCGGATCGGGTCGATTTAACCTCATTTAAAAAAAAAAAATGTATATATTACAAACATCTCCATTTATGTGCATGTTTTACAAATTCTCTCAGGTGGGAACAGTTCTGCTCAGCTGTGCATTTATGTACGATATATTTTGGGTCTTCGTCTCAAAGTGGTGGTTTCACAAGAGCGTGATGATAGTGGTAAAAAAATACTACAAACCAACCTAAAAGTGGACTCATATGAAAGATTCTTTGTTTTAAGTTTGTTTAAACATATGATGATGTTTATTTAGGTAGCACGTGGTGATGGGAGTGGAGAAGATGGCATCCCGATGCTTTTGAAAATTCCACGAATGTTTGATCCGTGGGGTGGATACAGTATAATCGGGTTTGGCGATATTATTTTGCCAGGATTATTAGTCGCATTTTCCCTAAGGTTCCAAGTTCAAGTTTTCTTTTTTCTTTTTTCTTTTTCTTTTTTTTTTTTAAATTTCTCCTTTTTATGCTTCTTGAGTATAACATTCTGCCGTTAGTTTTTCTGTGAGAATGTACCACGTAAGTTTTGGTTATAATTTAAGGTGGATAAAATGGAGTTCAGACACCAAGGGAAAAAGGTCGGTTGATTTTATAATTTATACCCACTCGAATACTGATATTTTGCTGCTTATCCTTGCAGGTATGATTGGTTGTCTAATAAGAGCCTGAAATCTGGATATTTTATCTGGGCTATGCTTGCTTACGGCTTAGGTACGATTCGGCTTAGTTTGTTTTTAGGAAAAAGAAAAAAAAAACTTTTTATACCCCTCGGGAAGAGTTTTTCTCGAAAATTGCTCCTCAAGTACGAAATGGAAAGCATTTACGAAGCATTTGTAATTCGAAAGGATTTTTTCTTTGGTATTGTAAATTCATGTCAAACTCCAAGTAACTGGGTTCATTTATGCCTCTTGATCAGAAGCAAAGTTCTTTTACAGCTAATCACATTTACTAAGATAACACATGAGTTGCTATGTTTTACATAATTTCATGAAAAAAAAACCGATTTTTCGAACACAGGTCTTCTAACTACGTATGTGGCCCTCAACTTGATGGATGGACATGGGCAACCAGCTTTGCTATACATCGTTCCCTTCACATTGGGTGAGTAAAGCTCAATCTAATTACCAAAAAAAAAAAAATAATATTATCTTTTCCAAGTCAGAAAAATATGCCTCAAGAGACTGTTCTATACGACACTGATGTAACGCAATTTCGACAGAAACGCGGACCTTTCTTACAATTAAACTTAGATGATGATAGGGGTATTTTTGTCACATCACAATAAATTTTCAGGTACCTTGATCACATTGGGAAACAAGAGAGGTGATTTGAAGCATTTGTGGACAAGAGGGGAGCCCGATAGGCCTTGTCCGCATGTCCAGCTTCAAGAAGACGAACAATAACATGTTCTAATCTTGATAATGCATGGTTTTTATGTCGATTTTAGATTACAATTTCCGAATAGTATGTATTTGTACTTTGTAGAGATGTATACATAGCAGAAGAAAAAAAAAAACTTGAAAAGAGTGTAGCTGTAGATTGCTGTCTGGTCTCCTTTTCCTAACATGAGAGAGTTGCTATGGAATTTGTTGTTAAGAGTTACAGCTTTCAGTTTCAGTTGTGTTGCATACTGTCTGTACTTAATTGGCTTTATAATACTGTACATTCATTTTGCTAAATCGAATATATTTGAGCTGAATGTTGATTTGGGGTGTCCTTTTGATGTTTCACCCGTTGATTACAATTACAGTGAGTCGGGTATGGGGTCGAAAAACACATTATTAGATTTTACAAGCAAATAAGGGTGTGATTGGATATAAACTAGACTAGTAAAAATTCAATCAAAACTCAAATTTAATTCAACACCACTATCTTCAATATTATAAATATATATAAATAATATCAATTAATTATTTTTAAACACGTCAATTTTAATTCACTATTTATTTACTCACATAATTTTAACTAATCATCAGTTCCAATCATTTTTTTATACTCTACATCAAATTAACTTTAATTATTTTATTTTAAACATTATTTTAATTTAAACTTAAATTTCCACTAACAACTAACAATACCACCTATTTCATAATTAACTATATAGTTAACAACAAAACCAATCAAATTCAAATCCAATCACACCCTAAATTATCTAATATAAGCTCCAACAAATCATCACAACTTAACACTGAAGCAAAAATTAAGAAAGACCCACCACCATCCATCTGTAAAACTAAAACCACATAAAACTTCCTCATATTTACAACACCTTCAAATTTGAACTCACTTGGCTGGAAATATTCCCAGCAATTGAGACTCCTAATCCATGCTTTCTCCACAAGTTCTTTTACAGAGAAAGGGTAACAAACAAAATACAAAAGGTGCATTTTTAAATTTCATGGGCTAGAAAAGAAGAAACAGTGAAAAAAGGGGTGAAAGAAAAAAGAAGTAGACAAAATTGGCTATGTTGGCATCTTACACACATTCTTTCCCTTTATTGTTCTCTTCTTCTGGATAAAGATGCATGAGGTCAACTCAAACGTAAAAAATGAACTCTAACAAATAACAAACATCCAAAAAATTGTGGTGCAGTCGTCAACCAACCAACTTTGTTGGTTTTTGCAAATCGGCCGAATTTCCATTTTGAAATTGATTAGGCGTTCCCACAGATCATTTCTGGCCCTGATCTAAACCTGCGAGAAAGAGGAGATGTTAAGTTTTGTGCAATAATATGTAAGGCGCTCATATACGAAATCAAGGTTGTAGTAGAAGTGCAAAACAAGTGGAGCTAGGCTCTTCGTATCCCATTTTNNNNAAATAATAAAAAGGCCTAATGATCTTTCAGGTATTTATTTCCATTAAATTACAAATAATCTCGAGGGGGTGTTTGTGTTTGCAATCGTAACAGTAAGAGGATATTCATAATTGAAAGGTAATTTGAACAAACAGACATACTACTAACTCTCCTAAAGAAGGAACCATTTCCATTGACAGTCAACTGTAATGAGCTTCTCTCTTGACCTAGAGAGAGGATCTCTTGCATTCTTTCAGGCCAATCTGAATTTAACCTTCTAGCGAAGTCTTCCACTTCCCTGATTAATCAAACAACAAAAATAATTACCTCTAAATATATATATATATATATATATAATCCACGAACAAAAATCTGGCAAGAAACATTGCAAATTTCTAGTTTTTAATCTTTATACAGCTACAGGCACCAAGTGATATCATGCAGCATAGCAAGAACTAAGCCTTTTAGGGTTTTCTTTGAGCCAGAAGACATTAGGGGATTGAAATGAATTGTCCCAAAAATATATAGTAGAGAAAGAAGTATCTTCAAACTTTTTAGGGTGGTCAAGTACATTAAACGTAATAATTATATGAAAAAGATTTAAGGATTTTGACAAATCATTTATAAAGAACTTAAAACGAATTTGAAGAAAATTTGAAGTTCGGTCAAGTACATTCACTTGGGCCATGTCAGAAGCACTTAAATGCATCTATAGCTCACCTATCGATTTTTTCTTTCAATGCAGGGTCAATATCATCATCTAAATCACAATCATCAAACTCATCCTCAGCAGTTAACCCATCATCTTCAAAGTGCACCGACTTTGTTTTGTTGCAAATGTTAGTCGAAACCTTGCCACATAACAAAGGATTACTACACACAGAATCAAATTCATTTAACTCCTGCACCCAATCATTTCATACGTAAATAAGGTATTTAATCTTAATTTCATAAGTAAAGTCTCAAAACAAAGATCAAACCACAACGTAATGATCTTTCACCTTCTTGTCCATATCTTCGACATTGGTTGAAGAAGGGGTGCTGTTCGAAGTACTAGTGCAGTTAGAATTAGCAGTCCGTTGTTGATCTTTCCTCTTACGGTTCTTCTTTTTGTTTTTAGAAGTTCTAGTCCCCTTAGAATCTGCGAAAAACCGTACATATCAAACATTTAGCATCGAAATATGGAGATGATCAGGTAAAGGAGCGAGATCGGCCTAGGTTCAATTCAGTAACATTTTCTTCACTTGCGGATAGTGTGGAGACAGAAAAGTGAAAGCAATGAGCTGCGAGAACATAAGATATAACAAGATACAATAAAGCTCAATATCAGACTAAAAGTCAACTAAATCAGGTACCTTGCGCAAACTTGACTATTGAAGCAGAGCGAAAAAGTAGAGAAAAAGAAACATAAGACTTGTATGTTGAAACAACTCGAATACCTCCATTAATGAATGATAAGAGGTCATCCACAGAACGATTATCTGCGCGTTCCTCTTCAACCTCAACATTCTACAGAAAACATGAAAAGCCATTTCTCAGTCTGAAGTAACTCACATAAACATCGGTAAAGGCGAGAAAAATTCAAGCTGCTTATTGTTAACTGAATTTCAATGCTAGGGTGCACAAAACCTAAATAAAACTGGTGAAAAATACACAATGTTTCACTACTATAATCACCTTTGATCTCTCTCTTTCCTTTAACTCTTTCCTCTTCCTAGCATACAATCTATTCAAAAGCCGAATCCTCGGATCATCCATGGTGTTTCTTATAGGCTCCAACTTTTCTTCCTGTGTCAATAGGATAACATATATAAAGACAGATGAGATTGAAAGACAGTTCTTCCCCAAAGAGAAAGAAAAAAGAAAAGAAGATAATAAGCATGTACACTGCTTGCAAGGACAGAACACCTCTGTTAAATCGTCAGGAAGATGAAATATTTCTCGTATCTCTTCAGGAGTTTTCCCCTCAATCACCCGTGCAAGAGCACGACTAGTGAGATCAACTAATGGTTTCAGCTGCAGGCTGTCAGCAGCAGATGTGAGTTCACAAAGCCTTTTAGTGTCCATTCGAACAAACTTCTCATCGAAGGATTTCCTTTCCTGCAACGGAGTATAAACAGCATTAGCTGTGATAAATGTTTAAAATTACTAGTAAAGTGCACGTGCGATGCACGTGGTATCGAATGATTTTTGCTGAGTAAGTTTGTAAAATAAATTAATTTATTTATTAAACATATCATTGCAGGAATGAAATAAAATATAGAACAAATGAATTCATATGTGACTTTTTTTATTTATAATTAGTGTAACGATGTCCTAATATAAAAAGAGTGAAATAACGTTTTACAACTCCCAACTAAAATATATAAAAAACAAATCCTTAATACAAAAACCACTAAGATTTTCTTTCATCTTTCTTATAAGAAACATTCATACTCGCTGGAGTCTAATACATCAATACTATTGCAAAATTTCTCTTAATTCATTTGGCAAAACGCTAATTTTATTCAAACACTTAAGAAACATTCTGACCCAACATATAGTCAAACTTCATGATCGTATAATAGTTATAATAAGGTACTTCTACTAACAATGCATAAATATCTCTATAAAATAACTAATTGTGTCATTAAAATTGCTGGTATTTTTTTATCATTGTATAAACTACTACATTCCTTTGTCTCTAGACATATTGGTGCCTACCCCATTGATGCATCGCCCCACGAGGTGGGAATGAATTTTATCTCCAAATAAAAGTTGACTTTCCAAAATTTTGGTTACATGTACTTCTCCCGAGGTGCTAAATTATTTTTTGAAATCATCATACATTACCTGAAAGTACCTCTAAAGTAATTGCACATATGTTCGAGTACAATATACCAATGAGATTATAAATATTTCTATAAAAAGTGACAACTTCATTCGAACATTCAAAATTGTTTTGATACTCCGACATTGTTATTTATTTGGAATATAGACGAACAATATAATCTATTATTTGAAAATTATTGACCATTGTTGGAATGATTTTAGAATTGTTTATCATAATATCTTTCACATTGCAATATTTGTGTGCCTAATAACTTCTTTAATGCTTTTATTGTCCAACATTATTCATCATACAAAATGATTATAAAATTCAAGATAAAGATCATTTCTTTATTCTCCAACAATGACAAAACAAAACAATCAAAACAATGAGAAAATATTGAGAAACATATCATTTGTTAAAATATTTGATAGGAGAAGAGTTAGAATTCTATTATATTACGATACTCTTAGTCATCTGCAAAGTTTATTATTATGGAGTCATGATTAAAATATACATTATGTATTACAAATTTTTTGATCTTTTAATTATTTAAAATTAAAAATAAATAATATAGGATCATTATTTATGACAACCAATTTCTTACAGAATCCCTATATTTAAACGGTAGCAGCAAAAAAGTAGTAATTTTCAAAGACTTTTTGTTCGTATATATTGGTATTCATACTTGTCTAAGAAAATTCACACGTATTCTTTTTCTCATTATGTTAACTATTATATTATTTGTTTCTTATTCTATAGATAAATAATATTTTATTTGCTAAATAATTAAAGCACATTTATATGAATTGTGTTATTTTTTGTATGTGTTTTATATAATGATGTTTTCAAATTATCTTTTTTATTAGGCTGCAACTACTATAATCACATAAGATATAATGTAAATTTAATATATTTGATAAAAATGTACTTTTTATACGAATTATTAGATTAAAAAGTTTACAATTTTTTTCAATGTTTGATAAAATATTAGGTAACTAAGTCATTTTCATAATCACTAAATACATATATGGTACCACCTTTATAGGGTTCTTTTTCAAGCAGTAATTGAATAATAGTTTAACGTACAACTCATTTATTTGTCTTTTTAATTCACATAGCTAACGTTATCTCATTTTCCTTCTCTGGCCTAGTCTTTTCCTTCTTTTATCTATGATTTCACTTCGCTTCGCTTCGTTTGTACCTAAGGTGCATTCGCCATAGTTTCAGCATTACGGCAAACCAGTGTCAAATATATATCGGGAATGGGCGCTCTACCCAAAATGTGGGAATAGTTGTAAGTTTACCTCCATTTTTTTTATGTTATTTTTAATATGAATTGTTTCATATCTATGTAAGAAAAATATACCACAAGTTTATCTTATGTTATTTTATACTTAATAAAATTGATTTAACTTGAATAAATAAATTAATATATCTTATAATTTCAGGTCAATTTATTATTCTAAAATTAATATTTATTATATATATATATATCGATATAAATAATTATATTATTTTTATTTTATTTGCAATATATTGGTCAACTCAAACATTATTGAAAAGAAATAATGTGATATATTACATATAAAAAGAGTAACAAATAAAAAATATGAAGTATCTCAAAATTAAAAAATTTAATGAGAGAAAGTAATTAAATTTTTAATTAAAAAATTTTAAGATTAACATACCCAATTTTAAAGAAATGTATACCTAAAAGTTCTAGTTAAAATATATGTGTATCTTAAGTATGTTTTATATTTCTCATTAGTCAGCTCCAATTGATATTGTACATTAAGTAATTTTATCAGTATTTTTACTCTTTGATTTAATGAGAGCTATAAGTTTTCTCATCATTCTTACCCCTTATTTAGTTATTATAATACTAATAAAATAATTAAGGACCTTTCAAAGTATCTTGTTTGTTTCGAAACAAAAATTACTTATTATCATAAATTAAACGACAATTACATTGAATGTGTTATATTTTCTATCTTATAAAAATTTTCATAATAATAGTTGCACACAATATTATCTAATAATGCAATTTTTTTTTATAGATTTTGAGTCCTACTTTTACTACATGAAAATGAGAAAATTCCAACGAAAATTACAACAAGAATATAACGATCTTCTTAAGTTGAATTGAGAAAAATCATGTCTTTTGGTTCTTAAATATATTTTATCTTATTGTGACTGTATTGATTTATTAAAATGTATTACAAAATGAGAAATGTGATAGATTAATTTATAAATTACGATGACATGTTATTTTTATGGTATATTTTTTCTATTAACTAAATAATGCCCCCAATATGAAATTATTTTAGATCTATCACTACAATTAGCTTTCCAATGGAATTTCCATTGAATTTTTGCACAATTCCAATGATAGTTTTTCCAACGATTGAAATATAGTCCAAAAAAATTCCAATGGAAATTCAAGTAATTGAAATCTTTAAATCCACTAAAGTTCAAGTAATTTAATTTGAACTTTGTTGGAATAGCCAATGAAATTTTCCAATGAAAGCAATATTTATGAAATATTAGTTGGAATTTTCTGTAGATTACCTTAGCATTGATTTTTTCATTGCAATATAGCAATTTGTTGCAATCCTCTTAAACATTAGATTTTTATGTAGTATTTATTTATTAATTGTGTTTACAATTTTTCTATTAAAAATATATTAAACACATGAACTTTTTAGTTCCTATATTTTTTTTTCAAAAATTACTTATTTTTTTATCTCAAGATTACCTATTAATTTACCAACTGAGTTACATTTCTTACATATTAAATATTTAAAAATTAGAATATTTTCTGTTTTATATGTTCAATATGATATTTATATATTATATTAAAAAAAACTAATATAGAAAATAAAAAGTTATTTAAACTTAGAATAATAAAGATTTTTTTTTTTGGTAACTTGCATGGATAAATGTACAAATAACTATTGTCTATCACATCAAATTTACACATAAAATTATAAGGAGAAAAAACTAACAAGCGTTTAACAACTCAGCTCGTTTACGTCGATAAGTATATTTATAAAAGGTTTATATTTCTTCTATTAATTATAACATTTTTATTTATTACTTTGTTTCATATTTATTAGTACGTGTCACAACTTATTTATTTTTAATATTATTTATCATATTTAATATTTTTTTTAAACTTTTATCGTGTTCTTTTCCATGTTCTTAACTGTAGATTTGTCAAAAAATGCATGATATAAAGTCTAGAATTGTTTCGACCATCTGTCTCGTTATATATCAATTATTTGTATATCTTATATTATATTATATTTAATTACAATTTTTTTAATTTATACTACAATTAAATATTTATAATTCATAAATTCGTCAATAATATTGTCGAGTCAACTTTAGTTCATAAAATTTTAAAAAACATAATTATTTTCAATTATATGCTTATGTCGAATGGAGAAAAGTTATTTTTTTTAATTGTAACTGTATTGATGTGTAACATATATTATAGATGAGAAAGATGACAAATTATGAAAAATATAATTTATAAATTATAATGACATTATGTTATTTTACTGGTATACTTTTTCTATTAACTAAATAATGCCTCAAGTATGAAATTATTTTGTATCCACCACTGCAGGTAGATTTCGAATAAAACTTCCATTGAAATTCTTACATTTCAAGTGACATTTTTTCCAACTGTTGAAAAATGACCCGAAAAAAAATTCAAACGGAAATTCACACAATAACAAATAATGATAACTGGATTAATTAAATGCACTAAAGTTTCAATATAATGTAATTTGATCTCGGAATAGTCAATGAAATTTTACAATGACAGCTATACGAATAAAATATCATTTGGGATTTTCAGTGGATGTCTTACCGTTGGATTTTTCATTGCAATGTATTTTTTTATTCTTTTATAAATTATATTTTTTATGTAGAAGTTTTTGTTATTAATTAGATGTATTTATAATTTTTCTATTAAAAATATATTAAACAAATGAACTTTTTAATCCATATATTTTTTAAAAATTGCTCATTATTTTATCGCAAGACTACCTATTAACTTATCAATTGAGTTACATTTCTTGCACATTAAATATCAAATAATAAAAAGTATTATTGTATATATATAATATGGTATTTATATATTATATTAAAAAACTAATAGCAAATAAAACGTTATTTAAAATCAAAATTATCAAAGCTTTATTTAAAAAAAAAAGTCTAACCTACGTGGATAAAAGTATAAATAACTATTGTCTATCGTCTAAAATTTATATATTGAACTAATAAGCGCAAAAATTTAACATGTGGTGAACAATTTGGCTCATTTACATCGATAAATATAAATTTAAAAGTTCTACAAATACTTTTACTAATTATAATATTTTTATTTATTACTTTTTTTCATAGTTATTAGTAAGTATTACAACTTAGTTATAAATTTAATATTATTTATTAGATTTATTGTTTTTTTAACTTTAAACTGTTCTTTCATATGTATTTTAATATATATGTGTGTGTGTGTGTATAATTTTAGGTTTGTTAAAAAATACATAAAATTAAAGTATAGCACTTTTTTGAATCATATATCTTATTTATATCAATTAATTTTATATCTTTTTATTATATTATATATAATTATAATCTTCTCATTTATACTCAAATATATAAATTTTTTATTTCGTACATTTTTTCTTAAAAACCATTTTATTATAATAACACATATTAATAGATAGATGAGTAATGATAATATATGAATATAATTATTTGATTAAAATAATTAATTTTCAACATGTAAATCATATTATGATTCTCGAGATATTTTTAATTTATTTGTAGATAATTATATGGTTAAAATTAATACATGTTGCTAAAGTGGTATCTCATTTAACGTGAAAACGAATAGATTAAGTTTTATTATACAATTTCATAAAATTATTCTGGTCTTATGCATCGAATAAATTGAATTGATTAGAAGTTTAGGTTGCAGAACAATCATTCAACAATTAATCTCGCATACTATTATACATTTTGTATAGGTTATTTTGAAAATAATGTTTCTATACTTTGTGGTCGTTATGAGAAAAAAACAATATCGATTTCTAGTTTTATAAGTGTTTATTATGCTCTTTTTGTTGGATCAATTTTAATTTCTTTAAGGAACTTTTATATATTAGAGTTATGAAATGTGATTACAATATTATCATTAAAATTATATTAAAAATAATGACGTTTTTCAAAACAATAATTCTATATCCTATCAAACAATCAAACATTTTTAGAGATATGTGGAAGAAAACAAATTTGTGAGAAATAATGGTGTCAAACCAACATACTGTAGTTGATTTTAGGAGTGTGGAATAATTTGTTCATGTATTTGTATTTAATTAATTAAATATTAGTTATAATTGAAATATAAGATATGATGGACAATAATATATTACTAATTTGCCATTAAAAACATGTCAAAGTAAGGGTTTATTAGGTAATTCATTTTAATTTTTAAAAATATAAAATATGATGTGTATTAGTGTATTACTAATTTGCCATTAAAAATATGCCAAAGTAAGGGTTTTTTAGGTAGTTCATATTTTTACAAAAACACTCATCCTTTTAGAGTAGTATAGATATAGATATAGATATAGATAGATAGATAGATATAGATATAGATATAGATATAGATATTTGAGGAAAAAAAAAATACATGAAATTTGTAGAGTTAAAGAAATACGTATTGACCTTGTTAGAACGACCTGGTACTTGATGAAACCGGCAGTAGTCAAGGATCAAGCTCAGCATAGGAGGATTGACCCGTGAAGGAAGAGAGATGGGGTAATTCTTTGAAGATCCCATGCCTGAGTGTATTTCTTGACATATAAATGGACAATACATGGCAACCTCTTGTTCTACTTGCTGTATTGAATCACCAGAAGTTTGAAGCCAGACATAGGCCTTCAGCATCTAGAAATGTGATCAATAACCACGAGAAAGTGAATAGATATTGATCATAAAACTAAAACAACAAAGCGTAACTATTGCAATGGAGGGATATTGCGGAATTACTAAATAAAAAGACGGACTGCCTATGGTCACCACATAAATATATGCACGAGGAAAAGAAGATGCTAAAATGTGCGAAAAGTCATGTAAAGCATACCTCGGGTTTTATTATTTCACTATCCGCTTCTGTCATTGTACTGGAAATGTGATGAAGAAAAATTCAACAAATAAACTTTCCAACTATTTACCTGCAGCAAAGAATAGAGGCATTAGTTATGCTTATTGTCCTTGCGTCATCTCCAATAATGATAAATATCAAGCCTTTCGGTAGATTTCTACAAACCCAATCTCATAAACTTTTTAACTCAATACATCATATGGTGCAAAAAAATTATCAGCGTTTCTTGAGATAATTGTAAAACTCCTTAGGCTAATTATTCTGCAGTCCAGAGAATAATGAAATACTCAAAATCAAATCTATTTTGATCGGATTTGGATTTGGTTCTCAACACTTCAATATGTTCTTTGAATTATACTTTTGTAGAAAGACGAGTGATATTCACTATTCAGTCAACTCGAATTAGTCCCTCTCTCTCACTTACTATACCAACAATAATGAATTCAAGTGTCCTTCCCCACGAGCACCCCATACAAATGAAGACAATTAACAACAAGGAAAAAAACATCTCCAACAATCCAAAATCAACGGCCCACCAGCAGAGTCCATATGGACCACTGTGCCAGATGAAAAACAATGGACTTTCAGAAAGGCTGGAAGAAGGAAAAAATTAACCCCTTTCCTTACAAGCTACAACGCGACATAAAGGGTAGAATGGTACTATGGAAAGATGTGTGGTGAAAACCAAAACTTTCTATTTCGATATAAGTCATGTTTGCTAGCTGCCCAGTATCCAGCTGCTAATAAACCTCAGGCAGCACGACTTGATATTGCAAAGATCGAAAATTTACCATACTGCTACAGATATGGACCATATTTATCCAAATATCGAGCCTCCAGGGAAAATAAAAGCCAAAAGAAAGTCTGCATCGCATTCACTTGTCAAAAGCATAGCAAAACCTCACACACCACACACACAAACTCGAAAACAAGCAATGTATCAAAATAAACCGATAATAAAAACAAAATAAATGTTAATTGACATTCTAATTAACCAAAGAATCACCAAATGCTGCTTCAAGAAAGCCGTAATCCCTCATTTCAACCCAATCCCTATCATTCCTATTTCTAATCCAACAAATTATCTAATAAAGCACACAATTTTAACAAAGCCATAACGGATACAGATTAGCCAGCTCAAGAACACGAATTGGAAACATCAAAAAACAAAGACAAGCTCGCCCCGTCTATCAACTAAAAGAAATAGCATAAAAATGAATTAACTCCAGAAAGTAAAAAAGCAAACCTTTTTCGCCCATTAGTGAAGCACATAAAAAGGACACAATCCGTACCTGAAACTGGCAACTACGAGCAGCTTCTTCTAAACAGAACTTGAAATTTCTCTAAACAGAGCTTTGAAATTCTGGAAATGGCGCTCGCCCGCTAGAACAAAGAATGGATGAATTAAAATGGAGAATATATTTTTCTAATTTCGTTTATCTTATCTTTCTTATTTTCGTTTAATTGTTTCGGTGAAAGGAGTTTATGGATGGTTAGATACAAAAAGTTGATATATATCACACTGTATTTTTGTGTGATTGGATGCGTTTTCAAGGTGAAATGCAGGTGAGGCTTACGCCAGCGACTAATATATTACGTCATATTTTGATTTTCATGTCTCCCAGACAATTATTCCATTTATTGTTCCAGTTCCAGTAAATTATACTATTTTGTTAGGGTGGCCTAACTAATTTTTCTTTTTCATAAATATGAATATTTTTATTAAAATATCTTAACAAATCACGTAAACATAAGTATAACATTTGATGATTACAATATAAATGTAAATATGACATTTGGTGGTATTAGTATGCATTTTTATTCACATAGTATGACGGGTTGACGAGTAACAAAGTAAATATAAATATAACATTTGATGATAATAGTATGCAATTTTTATTCATATACTATGACGAGTTGACTTGTCTTACCATTACGCTAGCTTACACAATATTTTGTCTTATATTTATAAGTATTTCATAGTCTATTTTAATTTTTTCACACTTTTTCTTGTTCCATGCAGGATGTTGGTGCATGCAAATATTCACTTATAATGATTTTATTTTTATGTTATAACTGACTTTTTTATTGCAAAAACAATGGAAAAAGGATTATAAATTCTTGTCTATTTTTTTATTTGCTGACTGTTATAAAATATATTTAAAACAATGCATTGATAAGTTTTACTATTGAACTGCTCAAACTTTTTTGTTGCAATCTATAGATAAAAATTTTGAAAGCGATGTTGGAGCTACGTGAATTTTTTTTTTAATCCAGATGGCACATTTGAAATGCTATATAATATCAGTACAAAATCTAATCCAGATTATAGATTAACACATTCTACCGTTATTATCCGCAAGTTTTGTNTTTTCTGGTATTATTAATGGCCCAGGCAACATTGACCAGCATATAATACGAAATTATGAGCATGATGAGAAACCGCGTGTTTGGTTTTCTTTTTGATTTGGTTTTTTGTTTAGGATAATTTCGTTTTTTAATTGACAAATAGCTACCAGTCAAATTAAGGCCCACTTAATTTGGCATACACCATACAGTTATATTGATATGGTACTACAACTTACAATACAATTTAAGTTCAAAGTTCTGTGCACTGTGCAGATAAAAATTTAGAATTAGAATTATAAAAAAAAAAATTGATTTTCAAAGTTCCGTGTGGGTACAAATTTACAGCTTGATAGGCTACTTTCAATACAAAATTAAACTAGCATATCTGCTCTTATACATTGGATTTTTTCCTCAAATGAAAACTAGTTTTGCTCTGGTTTAAGAGAGACCTTAAAGATTGGAATATATCCAAGGATTTAGCGGTGGATAGGAGCGCTTGGAGGCTCGCTATCAACGTACCAGAACCGTGACTTTTGCTCCTTTATCTCTCTCTCGCGTTTTTTTTTTTCGATTTTTTTTTTTTTTTTCGATCTCTTCCTTTTGGTTCGAGTCTTTTTGTGTTTTTCTTGGGTTTCATCTCTAGCCTACCCCGACTTGCTTGAGACTAAAGGCTATGTTGTTGTTGTTGTTGTTGTCAAATGGATAATGAACTGTGATTTTTCCAGTCCTCGTCCTAACCTATGTTATCATAAAAGTCAAAGGTCACTCACCAAAACTTTGACAACTTTCAGCTTCATGTTGTTGTTGATGATGATGAAGGGACCATACAAACTCTAATCCCATTTGCCGCAAAAGCTAATGTTGACTGGACAGCCTTTTGCACTGAGCTCGGTGTATTGGACAAAAACGGCGTCCTGAAAGAGACTGAGGTATTTGCACTCTGCCCACCACCAAAGGAAAGCTGGCCTGGTAAAGATGATAAATTTCCATCAACCTTCTCACTAGGGCTGCTCGTTAAACTGTTGTTCATTTGTGCATTATTAACTTTCGAACAAACGGCTTTGTTCTCGCCTAGACCATCCATAATGGATTTTCTTGTTTCAGGACTGCAACTTGGAAGCAACTTAGACAATATATTGCTGCCACTTGAATTGTCATCTGAAGTGTTAGTAGCATTAGGTTGGGCAAAGGAGAGAAAGTTTATTCCCCGGGGTTTTCTTGGAGGTACACTCTCAGTTTTCTCGTTGGGCTCGTTTGAGCAACTGGCAATAACAACATCCTTGTTCGTGGTGCCACCAAGTGAAGTCCCCACGTTAGAAAGAAAGCTAATCCCTTTTGGAGCCTGTTTAGCAGTGGTAGTCCTTGAGACGGTCCTTGCAAAAGGCAGTTCTAAGCTCTTACCGTGATTATCATCCGTGTGCTTGCTCGGGTTTGAGTTATTCGGTGGGGACAATAAGTTGACTTCAGGGCGGTTGACTTTCGAAGACAATGCAGATGTTTTAGAGGGAGTTTGTGTGGTAGATACGATCTGCTTAGCTGGCACCTGCGGCATTTTTCCAATAAAAGAACATGCGGAGAACACATTTTAAGTTGCCATGTAGAGTATACCACTAATCACGACAATCCAAATATGAAAATGCATTGAACGGTTAAGAAGGGTTAAAGGGAAAAAAAAATACCTCGTGTGAGAACAAACAGTCGGAGCCTCTGCTACAGAAACCATTGGTGGTATAATTGTTGCATGGGTACTTGGAGAGTTGATGATCATATGGACAATCGTCTCCTTTCATGCAAGAGTGACGGGCAAAATGACCACATGGCTGCAAGACAATAATAAAACAAGCCAGCTTAAAGGCTTAGACTACTGCATAATCTCTATGAAAGGTTTCAACACATGATGCTTGTGTGAGTGTGAGAGAGGGAGGATCGAGATGGATCCAAACAAACCTACAACGTGGTTTAGGGCTTCTCTTTCATTGTTTCATTTGAAAATTATTGATACTTCAAGAAATATATGTTTCCAACAATGTATAGTTTAATTTAAGAGAGAGTCATACCTTAGACTTCGTCAAGGGAACTGTATCATGAGAGAACTTGCACTTCTCCCCCTGTGGGAAAAAAAAAATAGTAAGAGTAAGTTTCAAGCAATAATGCCCTCTCTTGGTGACTCATCTCTTGCGGAGAATAATATAAATCTATATCATAACATCTAAGATTTAACTATAACAAAATCAAACTGACATGAACATAGTGCTAGATTTCATACAACCTCATGGCATCTCCCATGTAGAAAGTGGCGGCAATATGTTACTGTCTTTTGCTTCTTAACCGGTTGCAGTTTTAATCTTTTAACCCCAAGTTTTCTGTTCTTTTCTGCTCTTTTAAGTCTATCCTTTCTCTGCAACATGAAATTGTCAACAGAATGAAGATATGGAAAATGAGAACATATTATCTATGCTGCAGAAATGACCTTGTAATAGAACCATGATCAGATGACCATGACACCAACATTAGAAGTTGAACAATGTAAATGCTAGGATATTATAAAAAGAAAAATTATAGTTACAGATATTTCAACATATACCTTTTTCTTAGCTCTTTTTTCCTCGGACAAAGGACCATTCTTCCTCTTTCTTTTGCCGTTCTCATCCTGCATAAAATTTGACAATGGTAATTAACAGTCACATGCAGAAAATAATACAAAATATAAATAAACACTATATCTTCCATAAAACATAGCTGGACGAGATAATGTGAAGCATGCGTCAATATAAAATTCAGCTCACTGATTCTAAGACATCTAACTTGTAAACCGCGCCCAGAAAACCCTCATTCGCAATTTCATATAACCAAATGTTTCATATTCAAGGAATATTAAAAGACCTGGCATAACACGAAATCATACCTTTTCAACAGTAGCACACATTTGGCTTTCAGCAGCCTTCCCTTGGAGGTTCCTGTCTGATGGGCATTGCTTTGCAGAACTAGGTGATACCAGGCCACTCGTTTGGGTCTCCATATGACTATCATTAGAGACATTCTGAGGATGAAAACCCTGCATCACTCCAGCAATTTGTCGGCTTCCTATGTTCACAGAGTTGTAGTCACTATTAACCGTGCTAGCCAGTAAAGGATCAGGAATTTGATGTTGCCAAAAACCTCTGTCATATTCATCAGAGCTCATAGATTCTTCTTTATCAAGAACATCCTCAGACGCGTGCACTATTTCTGCGGTTCTATCTCCTACTAATGACGGTTCTTCATGAAAAGACACGTCAGCAACCCCAACTTCCCCAGAGATTTCTCCTTCTTCAAACTCTTGATCAGCATTTTGAAAGTTTATGAGTTTCTCCAGTTCCATCTCCTTCAGCTGCAGTTCATGCTCAGTTTCTTTAGACATATTCTCCTCCAAGACGGTTTTTGATGATTCAATTCCCATATCCACGCCAAAACAAGAATCCAGAACATCGGAATAATCGGCTACAGAGAATTCTTCGTCCACTTGGAGCTCTTCCAATGCAACTAAGTTCTCCATGTGATTACCAAGAACGTCTCTTGATGCATTTTCTTGCTCCTTTGAAACCTGAATGGCACAGTCGGACGTTTGGTTCACAACCATAGACAAGTTCCCGTTGCTAACACTATTTTCTGGAGCTACTTCCCGTCTGACATCTGTCCCCAAGCTCACATGATCCAATTCAAGTGTTGTCGCTTGGTTAGGTTCGGAATCACCACCCTGAAAGTCTGTAACCTTTTTCTCACTAATACTCGTCTCTCTAACTAACGTGTCCTCTGACTGCTGCTTGCAATCAGGAAGTGGAATTACGGCGGCCTCTGAATTAGCATCCTTGTTGGAAATTGTCGATCCATCTTCTTCCCTCACCGGTCTTACTTCAAGTACTCCACCATCACCTTCTCTCACATAATCAAATAGTACAGTAAAATTCTGAGTTAGCAAATCACACAGGATTCATGTAGACCACATGCAAATCATAACCCACATTATAACTAATACAATTCCACATAAGTTCAATAAGCAAATGAGCAAATGAATTTCACACATAAAAAAAGGGACAAAATTCCAACGCCAAAGGATCCTTTTTCCTTGTTCGCCAAATTATAACAGTGTTTTATCACAGTAAAGAGAACGAGAGAAAAATGCAACAACAAAAATAAGCACGTCTGAGAAAAGGAAAAGTGCAATACCTTGGATTTGCAGCTGGTGGGTGCTCGTGATAATTCCGACGAGGGCACGAAAGGTTCGGCTACGAAGTGGCCGGCGACGGTGTGGCGGGAAAGAAAAAGGTGTGTCGGACGGATTTAGGGTTAAGTTTTGCAGTGACGATTTCTCCATTGGAAGGGAGGGACTATTTTGTTCGATCTCTCGCCAGGCTCCAAATGTGTTGCCCTAAAATAATTTTGGGTCTTAAAATTAGTTTATTCAATGAAACAGTTTATTACGAATCATTTTACATGTATGCCACACAGGAAAATTTTGGACTCATCACAGTAGCTCAAATTAAAATACTAAAACATTTGAGGTTTTTTTATTTAGGTATTGTTTGGTTTGAGGGATTTGGAGGGAATGGGAGGGGAGGAGAAGAACTTTTTATTTTTCCTTTGTTTGGTTTGTAACTTAGGAGGGGAGGGGAGAGGAGGGGAGGGAAAATTTTAAGTCAAAATCCCTCCCCTCCCCTTATTTTGCTTCCCTCCAAAAATGGGGAAATTTGGAGGGAAGGGAAAAATTTAAGTTGTAAATTACTTTTTCGTCCCTCATTTGTGAATTATTTTAATTTTTTGTTTCTTACATCATTATGGGTATAACTGTCATTTCTATAATATTTTCCTTCCCCTCCATTTTTTAAACCAAACCAAGTTTACTATTTTCCCTCTATTCCCCTCCTACAAAATCCCTCCAAACAAGGTAAAATTATTTTACATCCCCTCCCCTCCCCTCTTCTTCCTTTCATTAAAATCTCTCCCCTCCCCTCCCCTCAGTTGAACCAAACATAGCGAGAAAAATTTAAGTTGTGAAATTACTTTTTCGTCCCTCATTTGTGAATTATTTTAATTTTTTGTTTCTTACATCATTATGGGTATAACTGTCATTTCCACAATATTTTCCTTCCCCTCCATTTCTAAACCAAACAAGGTTTACTATTTTCCCTCCATTCTCCTCCTACAATGTCTCTCCAAACAAGGTAAAATTATTTTACATCCCCTCCCCTCCCCTTCCCTTCCTTCCATTAAAATCTCTCCCCTCCCCTCAGTTGAACCAAACATAGCCTTAATCTCATATGATTATTAATTGCAAAACGAATTCACCAAACAACTGAGCCGTGAAAAAATTCTTCCACGAAAAACGAATTCACCAAACCAAGCTAAAAATCAAGTAATATACTTTTGAAAGTTGCGACTGAGACGGGCCGGCGAAGGAGGAGGGCGAGAGATAGGAACGGGTCAGACACAGAGGCAGGCCAGAAACGGAGAGGGGCTAGAGATAGGGACGGGACAGTGATGGAGGCAGGCGATAGACGACTGACGAGGCCTTTATGGCGTGTTCTTGCAGCGGGTATGCGGCGTGAAGCTGAAGACGGACGAAGCGGCGATGGCGGGGTTGCGGCGGCGGGGTTGCGGTGACCTAGGGTGTGGGTTGATGAATAGCCCTCTTTTACTTTCAGGGTCCGTTTGGTTGGCTGTATAGGTTGGCCAGTAAAATGTCAAATTTGCCCCTTCTTAAATACCAAATTCATGAAAAAAATCAATCATTTCTCATTTGTGCACAAAAAGAACACCCGACTTCTCCCCAATCTGTTCATCTTCGTTTCTTATATTCCTCATCTGGTGTTCTTAAATCTGTTCACGTTCGTCTTTTTCATCTTCTCCCTCATCCAATCACGACGGAGGACGAGGAGATGTCGAAGTCTTCCCTGTCGGCGTTTAGGGCCAAGGTGGAGGAGATCAAGAAGAAGAAGATGGAGGTCAAGAAGAAACTCCAGGCTGAGCTAGATTGGATTGAGGAGGAAACAAGCGATTGGCTACCTGGAAAGGTACTTTGTGATTTTTTTTTTCTCTCTTTTTTTCTTTTTTGTGTTCTGAAAAATTGTTTGATGGTGTGTTTTCCTGCCGATTTGAAGGTATTTTGTGAAATTTATGGAGCAAAGACTTGAGGGTTAGGTTTGCCTTGTGTGTATGCGTGCGTTTATAGGCTTGATTTTACGCGTCCACAGTTGCCTTCTCGAAAAGGCACGTGAGGCCTCCCACTTCTACAGTGTGCCATCTCTAACCCATTGCAAGCTATTACTCTGTAATTCGTTTTGTTTGGTTTTTAGCTTTAATGGTTTGACTGTTCGTGCCAAAAGTTCGACTAATTTTTGGTGAAGTTTGATTGGGAAATGAGGTAGCTAGTGGTACTTTTAGGCTTGGGAACTAATGTATCTCTTGTTTTCGTGTGAATTGCTGCCAGGGTTCGTTACATATTTGGTAATGTTAGTTTGAACTTAGAAGTTCATGAAATTTATGCAATTTTCTCGGAGCACCAACAGAATTACCTATTATGAATGTGAGTGAAGTTCGATGTTAACCATGCAAACTATAAATGTTAGAGAAGTACATTTTAAGCCTGTGAAGTTACATGTTTAAGGTTAAGCTTATTCTGCAAGCATAGGTAAAAAGTTGTTAGTTTCTTCCGATCTTTTTTTTTTCTGCGTTTTTTAGAAGAAATATCTAAAAGTGATTACTTGCTTTTGTTTCTTGAGATGAAAATTACACATGGACGTGTAATTTGTTGAACTAAATACCGATTATAAGTAGATTTATATGGTTTTTTTTTTTCTAAACAAAGTTATGTATCTTGAGCCCAACTTAGTTCTCTTTTGTGTAATACTATATACTTGTCTGTAGATGGTGTGTGCGTGTGTCTATGAAGCCTATATTTTCTTAATTTCATAGAATGATGATTATTATTATTATTAAATAAATAAGTTCCATGGTTGAAAGTATTTATTTTCTTAATCACGCTCATCATCAGCTGGCGCTTTAAATTTGAAATTTTTGTTTATCAATTTCAGTTAGCTTGAATTACTGATCTTTGGCTTGTTTTTACAGAATCATTATGGCGGAGTTCAACCACATCTGTATTCCTAGCAATTGTGTTTATCGTATATGCTCGGTTATAGCGATAAATGCACTCATACGAGGCAAGACTAAGAGATTCCCACCTGATGCTCGTATTCCCACTTTTGAACTTCTTACTGAGGGCCAATATAGACAAATTCATGATTCTCCAAAAAGTCCCGTTTGGCCAACGACTTTTTTTTAGGGTGGTTGTATTGAGGTATCAAGTTTTTATCGTTGAGGATATTGTTTGTTTGTCGATTTTCTAGTAATATCTTTTTCCTTGTTATTTGCAGAGACTTGCTCCAGGATCATAGCAACAATGCAACATTGCAACAAGGATGATAGTGCTTGCAGCAATAACAAACACCATAGCTATTTCGACGAATACATATAAAATGGTGGATAAAAAGAGTGCTTTAGTTGATTATTTTGGGGTCATTTTTTCTCTTGATTGTTGGTTGTAAAGTAGTGTATGTATTTTAGTTTCATTTTTTCCCTTATTTATTGGGTATATAAATAGCAGACTATCTTTTGTGAACGTGTTATGCAGAAAAAAGGCAAAGCAATGTGATGTGTTTTACGCTTATTTCTATTATGTATGTTATACATCCTGTATTTTTTTTCCATTAACTTGATTTATTATTTTCTTTCTACAATTTTTATGTTCCTTTTACGATAATTTTTGCTATGTTGGGTTTACTGTAAAAATCGTCACTCAAAGTCAAATAGAAAGAGCAAAACATAAGATGGTCAAAATAGGGTCAATATTGAAAAAATACATTATTCTAATATTAAATATTATATCACATTTTAAACCAAATAAGATAATAACTAAACTAAATAGGCTTGATATCATCATTATTACGAAATATTTACTAAATACGATTATGGAAGGGATACAATCAAATGGATACTCACTTAAACCCACAAAAGAAGATAATATCAACTCCAACACCAGTTTGCAACCAAACTCACCCTTAAAAGATTAACCAAGATATCCCACAACACCACACCGGTTCAATTTTTTGATTTCGGTGCGGTTTTACCAGTTGTGTGTGATAATTATTGTAGTTCACGAAAAATGGTCAAAAGAAAATTCTCAAAGAGGGACAAATTTTACATCACTTGACCAAGCCACGCGGACACCGATGAGTGGACTGGACGGCAGTGTTTGCTAATTATTGGTTGAAGTATGTGATTTTTTTTTTTTCAACGAATACATGTGTACAATACTATTTGATGGTGTTG